AAGGCACTTGACTGCTAACCAGAAGGCTGGCGGTTCAAACCCACCAGCCACTCCTCGGAAGGAAGGTTGGGCAATCCTACCTCCGTAGTGATACTGCCTCGGAAACCCAAGGAGGGGTCGCTATGTATGAGTCAGGGCTGACTCGACGGCACATAACAACAACAACAACAACAACAACAATAGATAGAGTGGATGGAGTTAGAGGTGAGAAGAGTGTTAGGCTAAGTAGGACATAGTATGAAAGGGGAACAGGAAAAGATATTGTTGTAATGGTAGATTGGGTCATGATAGGGAATTTGGATTATATTTACCCGTTTTTTTCCCCCTCTCTCAAGAAACTGTTATGTGACATGTACGAATTATTTTTTCGAATTTCAAAATTTTTTGACATTTATATTAAAATAGGAAGGATGCAGTGCAGTGAATTGCTTTTATATGGCCTTCCTAGCCATGAGCTTGTAACTGCCACCAAATGATTGGGTGGGACTATGCAAATAAAGTACTTGTGGCCCACCAAGGGGATTAGACAGTTTGCTAACAATGCAAATAAGGTACATGACATCCTTGTGAGGGTGGGTGGGGCCATCCAAGTAAAGTGTATGGAATCCTAATAAGTGGATTGGTCAGTTTTGCCATCCTGCTAGGCTTGAAATTAGTCATCCCAGAGGTAAAACAGGAAACCACTACCACCAAAAAGAGATGGGAGCTGAGTTCATCCTTTGGACCCAGGGTCCCTGCACTGACCCAGCAGACAAAGCACACTGAGGACAGCAAAAAGTAGCAGCAGAAAAATGGTGGTGGCAGAAGCAGGAGACTGCCAGACTGCCGTGAGATGGCACAGTGGGCTTTCTGGCCCACAGAGGAAGGTGGTTATAGTGGGTGTGCCGACCCACGGAGCGAGAGAGCTGAGCACCTTCGGCTGAGGCTTACTGGTGTAATGGCATGCCCAGAGAGCTTTGTAAAACTTGCTGGAGTAGGGCAGAGGCCAAGCCAGGGGCCCAGGAAAGACCTGCCTGTGGACACAGCTAAGAAGAGGCTGTCCTGATCAAACATCTGTTATCCTAAGTTAGTTCAGATCCTGAATTTTAACTTACTAAAAAAATTAAAAACCCACTGCTGTCAAGTCAATCCCAACTAATAGCGACCCCATTGGGTTTCCGAGGCAGTAAATCTTTATGGAAGTCAATTGCCCAGTCTTGCTTCCATGGTGTGGCCGGTGGGTTTGAACCACCAACCTTCTGGTTAGCAGTCAGATGCCTTAAGCACTGTGCTGCTAGAGCTCCTGTAACTTACTACTTCCCTAATAAACCCCACAACTGTGAGTGTAGTCTGTAAGTTCGTGTGGCCATTGCAATGGATTATTGAACCTATCAGATGAGTGGGAGCTCTGGTGGTGTAGTGTATAAGGCATTTGATTGCTAAAGAGAAGGCTGGTGGTTCAAACCCACCAGCTGCTCCTCAGAAACCCAAGAAAGGGTCACTATGAGAATTCTGTAGGAGGTACGGTTGGTGTCAGAATTGGTAAAAGGTTGGAGGGTGGAAGTATTTCTGACCTCCACCTCAGCCTTGAGCAGTTAATCTTGATTTTCTTTCCCCCTTGTAAGTTAAAGGAGGTTAGACGTGCGCGTCCCCCCCACCCCACCCCAGTCAGGCCATTTTTACAGAGGGAGATTATTTGGGAGACCACTTCAGTAATCCAGATGAACACCCAGACAGTGTGGTGCCAGTAGAACTGTGAAAGGATGGGCCAGTGTGGAAGACATGGAGAACTGACGGAAGTGAAAGTCAACAGAAGATAAATTATGCCATTTGGAAATAAAATAAGAATAGCTGCCTTTCTCTCTAAGTGAGTGGGTACAGACAGCCGAGCCAACATGTTCCTGTGGAGAGCTAGTGGGAAAATAAAGGGTGTCTTAGCCAAAGTGGTGATTAATTTCTTACCTCTCTAGGTACACACTGATTGTTGAGAAGGAAGTGGCATGTTCTGAAAGACTCCTGTTAGAGTTACTGCAGCAGCAGCAGCTGATGCCTGAGCACAGGACCTGGTGCCTCAGGTGACCTGCTGAGAGGTCCCTCACCACCTCTCCTCCTTCAGGGCCAGGTGGGAGGGGCCAGACAAGAATTCTTGAGGTCACAGGGCTGTCAGGCCTGATCTAGGAAGGAAACAAGACTGAGCACCCACACTAAATTAACTCACCAGTCAGTCACGTATTTAATAACAAAGGGTTGTTAGCATTAAAAATGTCTTAGTACTGGAATAGTGCCTGATGGTTGTGAATGTATTATTAGAACTGGCCATTATAGTGATTATTAAATTTCAAAAGTCAAGGTACTTATATTTAAACTACTATATAAAAGTTGTGTCAACTAATTTCATATGCTTGAGGGGATGGTACTGATCAAAGAAAGTCTTATTATATAATGTTATTAAGAAGGCCCTACCTAGGTTGATTGCAATCAATAACATGAAACAAAATGTATATGAACTATTGTATGGAAAATGAATTTGCTCTGTAAACATTCACCCAAATCACAATCAAAGAAAAAAGAAGGTCCATCCTAGAGATTTTTTCTAGGGGATCAGACTATGACAGTTGGGGGTAGGATAAGAGAGAAGGGAAGACCTAAGGATAATATCAAAATCTTGAGCCTAGGTAAGTATGGTCCCACTTACAGATAGAAGAGCTGGCTTTAAGGAAAGAGATTTTAAGTTTAAGAGGAAGAGTTTTAAAGGAGTGGATAGAAGTAAGGTTTTTTAAAATAACGATAGTATACATATGATAAAATTCACCCATGTTCAGTGAGTAATGATTTTGTAGTCAATTTATAGATTTGTACAGCCATTACCACAGCCCCCTTAGAGAACACAAAAGATCCTTTGTGCCCAGGGTCAGTCATTCCTGTTTCAACCCCCAGTCTGTTCTACTGGTTTTTTTAAAGTGATGATTTAAAGTAATTTTCCTTTTGCAGGATGGCATAGTGAATCCAACAATAAGAAAAGATTTGAAAACTGTACCGAAATTCTACTGTTGTCCAATTGAAGGATGCCCCCGAGGCCCTGACAGACCATTCTCTCAGTTTTCTCTTGTAAAACAGGTATATTACTTGTCTAAGTGTGCTTCTCCGAGGATGACATGCAGACGGTTTAAACTGAATGTGCATTTTCATGACTTAGCAAACATGCCTAGTCCGAGAATTCAGCAGAAAGCTGCTGTGAGAGCATTGGTGAAAGAGCAAGTATGCACGCAACTGGCTGTGATCAGATAGTTGTAAACCCCACTGCGCTTGGACCAGCCAAGTGTGTGTGTAATGTGACTGGAAGGAACCACGGTTTAATCTGGAGGGGAGGTATCAAGACATGGGTTCTGAGAGGAGGAGGAGGAGGAGGAGACCAATTTGACCACAGATAGACGTGTGCTTGGTGTTTCTGTGTGGACAAGTGCATACACGGCAAAAGGTGCAGAGGAAACACTCTAGAAAACGAGGGGTCCAAGGAGGACCCAGGACTGGGAGAGGCTGTGTCCGAACCTTCCCAGCAGTGTGCTGGAGGGTGTCCTTGGAAAAGCATCACAAAGACACTTGCTTATCTGTGATAGCACTTCACTGTGGCTGAAGCAGCCGAAGTCTGAATGCTGAGTACCCAAGGTTATTTCCAAAATGGTCTCCTACATTAACAAGACGGAAGTGATGAGGGGAAGAGCTCGATGCCATAATCTTCTTTTAAATACTTGTGATTTGGATTGCTAGTGTTTTCTACATCTAAAGCATTGTTCATGTAGGTATGCTGATGGTTTCTGAAATGTTCTGAGCAGTTTCTGGTTTTCATTTTGGTCCCTTTGGTTCTTCCTAGCATTTTATGAAAATGCATGCTGAGAAGAAGCATAAGTGTAATAAGTGCAGCAATTCCTACGGCACCGAGTGGGACTTGAAAAGGCACGCAGAGGACTGTGGCAAGACCTTCCAGTGCACGTGCGGCTGTCCTTATGCTAGCAGAACGGCACTGCAGTCACACATCTACCGGACTGGCCACGAGATCCCTGCAGAGCACAGGTGATAGGGAAGAAGTGGCAGGCAGTGTCAGTGGCTGAGGGAAGAGTGTGAGAGGGGCTGTTGTATAGAGAAGGAAGGAACAGTAGAGGAATCATCATGGAAGAAGGGAACTTTGGCACGTGGCAGCAGTCGCAGCACAGGACCCACATCAGGGCAATACTTTGGAGCCAGTGGCTCCTTCTTATTCTTTCTGCCGACCCCCTTTGAGTTTCTCTCATGATTCCCATTTGAAAATCATAAGCTCCAGCATTTTCTTTTAGAAAAATACCAGACTGTTAAAAAATAAGTTTTATTATGAAACTGTACTTCATTTTAAGGGTCAGATTTATAACTGGTGTAATATTTTCCTACTTTAGAAATGACGGAAGTTCCATTATGTAATCAGTTAGCTTCCTTGTGCTTATAGGATGTGAGTTGAGTTCTGGTACTTAGAGCTTTTTTAAAAAAAAAAAATGCTTCTCTTTTCTCTAGTGAGCATGTTTCTGAACCTCCATTTCCCATGACAGGCCCAATTCTTAGAGTGTAGAAGAAAGGATTTATTTTCTGCCTCAAATCTGACCTTTGCTATACATTTGGAATGTAGCGGTTTTGAGAAGATGAAGAACCAGTGCCATGGTTGAAGAAAGCTGCATTTTAACATTATTTTTCTTTTTATTCTCATTGTTTTCAGGGATCCACCTAGTAAGAAAAGGAAAATGGAAAACTCCATGCATACCCAGAAGTTATCCAGTCAGACCAGTGAATCACTAGTGAATAAGCCAGCCCCTGGATCAGACACTCAAGAACTAGAGTCTTCAGAAATAAAACTAATAGCTTCTTTTGAAGATTCTTGCAGCTCTAATGCCAGAAAACAGACTCTTACAACACCTCCAAGATATCCTCAGAAGTTGCTTCTGCCGAAGCCCAAGGTGGCACTGGTTAAACTGCCTGTTATGCAGTTCTCTCCTATGCCTGTCTTGGTGCCTACAGCTGACTCCTCGGCCCAGCCTGTGGTGGTAGGAGTCGATCATCAGGGCTCTACCACAGGTGCTGTACACTTGCTTCCCTTGTCGATAGGAACCCTGGTTCTCGGCCTTGACTCAGAGGCTTGCTCTCTTAAGGAGAGCCTTCCCTTTTCAAAAATTTTAAGTCCTATTGCTGTTGAGCCAGTTAGTACAGGTGTCCAAGTGAACTTGCGGAAAAGTCCATCTAATACCTTACAAGAACCAGGGAATACATGTCAAAAGAACAGCATTACTTCAATCAACATACAGACAGATCTGTCTTATGCCTCACAAAACTTGATCCCTTCTGCACAATGGGCTGTCTCAGATTCCTCTGTGTCATCTTGTTCGCAGACCGATTTGACCTTTGGTTCTCAAGTTTCACTTCCCATTAGTGTTCACACACAGACATTCCTGCCCAACTCTAAGGTAACTTCATCGATAGCCGCACAGACCGATGCCTTTATTGATGCTTGTTTCCAGTCTGGTGGGATCTCCAGAGAAACCCAGACCAGTGGAATGCCGAGTTCTGTGGATGACCGAGTGCAGATGGACCAAGTTGCAATGTGCGGAGACATGTTTGAGAGTGTCCATTCATCATACAGTGTTCCCACAGACAGTATGATAAGCAACGGTTTAGTAGCAGGTACTGTAACTCATCATGGTTTGTTACCTCACCATGACCCAAAGATTCTAAATCAAGATATGGAGAAATCTACACCGGTGATAAACTTCAGTGCACAAAATACTATGCTTCCCTCACAAAACATGACGGATAATCAGACCCAAACCATAGACCTACTAAGTGACCTAGAAAACATCCTGTCAACTAACCTGCCTGGTCAGACACTGGATAACCGCAGTCTACTACCTGATGCGAATACCGTACCTGACACACAGCTCCCATCCGGCCCAACTCAGAATCCAGGAATCGATTTTGATATTGAAGAGTTTTTTTCAGCCTCAAATATCCAAACTCAAACTGAAGAGAGTGAACTTAACCACATGAATACTGAGCCAGTCTTAGAATCACTGGACATAGAGACCCAAACCGACTTCTTACTGGGAGATCCCTCTACTCAGTCTTACAGCTGTAGGGAGAATTCTAACTTCTTAGGTCTTGAAATGTTTGATACGCAGACACAGACAGACTTAAACTTCTTTTTGGACAGTAACCCTCACCTGCCTCTGGGAAGTATTCTGAAACACTCCAGCTTTTCCATGAGTACTGATTCATCAGACACAGAAACCCAAACAGAAGGGCTCTGCACTGCTAAAAACATAGCTGCTCTGGAAAGCAAAGTACAGTTGAATAGTATAGAAACCCAGACCATGAACTCTGGTCTGGAAACCTTGGGGAGTTTATTCTTCACCAGCAATGAAACTCAGACAGCAATGGATGATTTTCTCCTGGCCGATCTGGCCTGGAACACAATGGAGTCTCAGTTCAGTTCTGTAGAAACCCAGACGTGTGCAGGACTACACACAGCCTCTGACTTCTGAGTGGAGTCCCCACGTGGGGTGGCGTTTACCGTTTCCTTCTGGATTCAGAAATGGGCGTGCAGAGACCAACAGTATGAACCATCGAAGGTAGTTGATGATGCAGTTGCTTAGATTCTTTGTGGTTCTTTGCCTTTTGTATCTGTAAACGTGTTTAAATGTGAGTGTATTATAAAGTGTAAGATGCTGATAATTTTAAGTGCTTATTTTTGTGTTGCCTACCATTGCCCCTTTATTTAAAAAAAAAAAAAAAATCAGACCTTTAAAAACCATATAGCTGAAGCCAGGCTTACCAAGAACTAGGGTACAGACTTTTCAGATCTTTAAAATGTTTTAGAAGAGTACCTTAAATTATACCTAAAATACCTTTTGACAGTGCTTGTTAGAAATTTGTTTCCTGATAATAATACCTAAAGTAGATTTAAATGATAGTGCTTGTGTGGTTTTGAGTTTCATGCTGCCTGCAGCCTCATCTGCTTTAACATCTTTTCTGATCTGAAGACAAAGGAAAACTACAGCTGTCTATGAATTTTGAAATATAGTCATGTACCACATAACAACTGTTAGGGCCACATCTGACCGCACGTACATCCCTGGTCCTATAAGGTCATAATAGAGTTCAGAAATTCCCGTTGGAGAACAGGACATAGCAGACGTAATTGGACATAGTAAACGCAACAGCTTCCTGCACGCAACATGTGTATCTCATGTCTTTGTATACAAAGTGACTATGCAGCCAGGTGTTTAATGGTACAGTACATGTATAACTTGTAATAGATATGCCTTGTCATAATAAGCACCTGTGTTACTGACGTATGTATGTACTGTATTTTCTGTTGTTATTTTAATGTGAACTTTCTCTACTTACAGATAGTTTACTGTGTAACATTGTATGCATCAACTCATAGGCAGCAGCATCCAGTCTCCTGTATTGCACGTCTCGAGTCTTGTAGCATTCTCTGTTTAATTTTCTATTGAAAATATTACCCTGAAGTGCATCATAGCTCCCAAACACAGCAAGACCAGTGCTAGTGACCGCAGCAGCAACAGACAAAGGAGAAGTACTAATTTGGAAGTGAAACAAAAGGCTATTCAGCAAGCCAAGGGTGGAAAATCAGTGGATGGAACTGCTTGTGATTTAGGCACATTTGCATGACGTCCAAATCACACAGTGTCCTACCTACTTCACAGAACATATCGTGGACATTAAATGATACATGACAGTAGTGTTCATATAGTCAGTGCCATCCCTTCTCTACATGAACTACTATTGATACTAATATAAGTGTACAGTACCTTCTTCATAAGAGGTTTGTGGCTGTAAAATTATTGCTTAAAGGAATAATAGCACTTACAAGTAAATAGTGATCCTTATATTCTAAATAACAGTCATCCAAACCGTGGAAGCACTGGGTTGTGGATCCACCTGTTAGTTCATACTAGGCGCGCCCCACAAACGTCCATCCTGCTCTCCACAGCCGGCTAAAGTGGTGCTCCTGAGCTGCTTCCCACAGTATACCTGCAGGCTGGATCTGAGTTTCATCTAAAAATAGGTGGGAAGAGAAGTGGCCATTCCCCCTAACTTTCAATGCTCTGAACCTTTACTGAGCTTACTAGGGCAAGTGCAATGTGCAGTTACTCCAAATGATTCCCCTTCCTTTCATCCACCACTCTTCATTTCCTTGAATAAGACATTGGGTTAGCAAGGATGTTCTTATGTGTGCCTTGGGGCTAGCAATTACAGAATAGATCCATCTAAAATATGGCATTCTACTTTGTGTGTGTGTGTGTGTGCTTTATTTTCTTAAAAAAGAATGATACCAAACAGTCTTCTTCAGAAAATAAAGATCAAAACCTATTTCCTCAAAAATCAAGACCATTTTCTGTTTCAGGATGAAAGTGTGATGACTTATACTTTGGGGATTTTCTGTATTTAGGAGATCCTGAATTCTTAATTGTGGGCCAACTTTGGAAAAGCAAATGTACCATCCCTTATTTTGCACAAGCTTGTGCCACTGAAGGCTAAATCCTCAAAAGTACAACTTAAGAAGGGGACTAGTGATTGATGAAAGTAAAATGCTCTTTCTACTAATTCATATTTCACACGTCTGATACAAAGGAATTGTTGGTAAAGAATAAAGAACATATGGCCTAGGCATAGGAATTCAAGCTAATAGGTAAAAGTTCTTTGGTCACGGTTGCCTAAGAATATGGGTTTCAAAACAAACATAAAGCCTTAACTTAGAATTTCATTCTGTTTTAGAATTGTCACTGCCTTAATGTTTAAGCATCTATTTAAATCCTCCTAAAAAAAAAAAAGGAGAAATGCATGTTTGTTTATGGCTTTCTGTAAATATAAATGTAATGATTTATGGCTTTAAAACAACATTTTGTTTCTGTGTTTGTTAATCCAGCCAGTAGATAGATTTAGTTGCTGACAATGGAGCATGTAATAGAGAGTTCTTCATGACAAGTAAGAACTCTTTCCCCGAGAACCTTAGTTACATGAATTGTTCCAAGATTATTTGTAAAAACTGAACATCTGTGATTAAAGACAAGAATTCTACTGGTTAGTTGTTTTTTGTGAATTCTTTACTCTCCGGTGATTTTGTTGCCTTAACTTTTTACAGACTCATCATCTCAAGGTCACATGATGAAATGATTGTGCCTAGTTTTTTCATTTTGTTGTTTTACCTTTGAAGAGATGCAAACACTTTTCCTAGTAGAAAATAAAAAGACACTCCATTACCAAAGTTTCTATTTTGGTTTAGATAAAAATACATAAACCTTAGGATTCAACTTTTTGGAAAGTTATCAAAGGAAATTAAGCCAATTCATGCACGTGCCAAATGTGACCATTTTATAGTGGAGTACATTCTATCCTTGTAAATAATGTGGCTCTGACTTAAACACAAAAACAAGAGACAATCGAGCAGTGTTTAGCTTGGTCACTAAATTGAAAGAAATCCAAATCCATGTTTGTTTCTGACTCCCTTGAACCAAAGGGAAAAGTGGAAAGAGGTTGAAAGACTTCTGAAAGGTGCTCAGTAAGATTGAAGCTACTTTGCACTGAAGCTAATGAATTCTTACCAATCTAATGTTGAATTGTTTCATTCAGAGTAGCAAGTAAGGTAATGTTCTCACTTAGCCCTTGATGGCCTTAATTTTATGATGCTGCTCTTTTTTTTTTTAATGCATTTTATTGAAATATAATTTATGTGCAGTGAAATAATACAAAACTAAAGTGACATGGGTCAATGCTTTTTTTTTTTTTTTTTTTTTTTTTTTTTCAGTGTTCCCTCCCCTCTGTTCCCCTCCCACCCCAGGCAACCAACAAAGAAAGTTTCCCTCCATATATAAACTTTTCCTTGACCCTCCACAACAACAAACTAATACTATATTTGTCCTCCTGTGATTGACTTACTTCGCTCAGTATAATGTCCTCTAAGTTCATCCGTATTACGCGCTGTTTTGCAGACTCTACTTTATTCTTCAGTGCTGTATAGCATTCCATTATGTGTATGTACCATAGTTTTGGTCATCCACTCTTCCACTATAGATCTTAGAGATAAGCCACTTGCCAGATATGTCATTACCAGCAAATACTAATTTGTTGCTGTCATTTTTGTTATGTGCTTTCTTGTGGTATCAATTTCTTTGTTCCATATAATTTTCCATGCTGAGCTCATTTTGTTTATGAATCGTGTTATCACTTCCTTCATTGCTATTGTTTTAATATTGGCTGAGTATTTATGCTGGTCCTCTTTTTTGATGTGAAGGCTTAATCGTTTTTCTTTGAGGTTACCCTGTGATTGATAGGTTTCTTTCCAAGTTCAGAACAGTCTGTTCTATCTTGTAGTTGTCTTAATTCTCTACCATCTAGAAGTTCTGTAATGACACAGTTTTTTCCCTCTTTTTGGTTTGTAGTTGTCCTCATTTGTCGATTAACGTCACTGGTTCCCTGCTTACAGTATTGTAGGTTTATTTACTTTGGATACTTCCATAGCTGGGTTGGTTTCTGGGTTATAACATCATGTGTGTTAATTGTCAGTTGTTGTTTGCTGTTGTTGCTTCTCGGTCCAAAGGGCTCCCTTTAGCATCTCTTGTAAGGTTGGTCTGATTTTAACAATTCCCTTAATTTCTGCTTATCTGGAAATATCCTAATTTCACCATCATATCTGAAGGACAGTTTTGCTGGGTACATAATTCTTGGTTGGAGATTTTGCTCTTTCAGGGTTTTATATATACCAGCCCCTTGTCTTCTCACCTGCATGGTTTCTGTCAAGAAATCCGAGCTTAGTCTTATTGGTTGCTCCTTGTGGGTAACTTTTCATTTTTCCCATGCTGCTCTCATGATTCTTTCTTTGTCTTTGGTTTTGCTAAGTTTGATGATGATATGTCTGGATGATTTTCTTGTGGGGTCTATCCTGTTCGGGGTTCGTTGGACATCCTCAATGGAAATATTCTCATCTTTCATCATACCAGGAAAATTCTCTTCCAACAAATCTTCGACAATTTTCTCTGTGGTTTTATTTGTCTCTTCCTGTTCTGAATTCCAGTGGCATGTAGGTTACTCCTTTGGATGGTATCCCACATAAACGTTAGGCTTTCTTCATTTTGTTTTTATCTTTTTTCTGATTTCTCTCTTTCCACAGAAGTGTTCAGGTATTTGCCTTCTATCTCCCTAATTCTGTCTTCCATTGATTCAATTCTGGTCCTTTGCCCATTCAATGTCTTATATGTTTCTGAAAATTTAGTATTAGTCTTCTGGATTTGTGTGTAGATTTTGTATCATATCTTATTTTTCATTTATTTTGTCATTTTGTTCTTGTATTGTCTTTTGAAATTGTTCTAGGGTTTTGTCTGTGCTTTCCTTGATCTGTCTCTCAATTCGTTGAAGATACCTAAATATAATTCTTTTGAATTCCTTATCAGGGAGTTCCAATGCTGCGTCTTCCTCGGGGATATGTTTCAGGTCTGTATCCTGGTCCCTTGTTTCTTCT